CAGGAGCAACCTCATCCACAGTCCTTGACAGTCATTGGCTTAGATATCCAGTGCTACTCTAACAGAAACACCTCAAGTGGATGGCTTTAACATGGGAAAAATACCTTCTCACAGTTTATGCGACTAGATGTGCAAATTCAGAGTCGGCGTGGCTCTATCTCTCTCCGTCAGCTCTAGGGGATGGTCCTCGCCTCTTCCACTCTCATTCTCTAGTTCCTTGGGGATCTCTCTGTTGTCTCGGCTGAAAAGTGATCCTGGGATAGGTTCAGTGTCATGTTTGAAGGGTGTTGAAGGGCCATCATCGCAGGGGTTCTGTCAGTCTCTATCAGACCAGTAAATCTGGTCTGCTTTATTATTTTGAACCTTGTTCTACATTTTTCTCCCACTCTGCCCACGAGCTTGTATTGTTTTCCCAAGCAGAGCAGTGGGTTGAAGTGGCTGGGCATCACTGGGTCTTTGGTCTCAGGCTAGTGGTGACTATAGTTCACATTGCCCTTTGGACTAAATGTTTCCTTGGATCCTGGACTTTCTTCACTCTCCCTGCTCTGGAGAGGAAGGGACCGGCAATTGCATCCCAGATGACCACTCGCACACTTTAGACTGCAGTCACTTGCACAGTTCATTTTTAAGCCATCTCTTTCCTCTCCCATTTTACTGTAAGTGTGATTCCTTTAAGGTCTTGCTTAGAAATATCCTCAGCCATATACTCAGGTTCACACCTGAAAGTTCTGCCTTCCAACAAAAACTTGAGCATATATCGGACAAATTCTTTGCCATTGCATAAAAAGCATTCCTCTTCCTCAGTTCAATCACATGTTCATCATGTTCTTTAAACCAGAAGCCCATTTATTATTCACCGTCCTAGCAATATTCTGTTGATGGGGTCATGCATGTTCTCCAAGGTCACAGAAAATTTCTCCATAGCTCTTCTCACCAAAATTGCCTTGAGCATGTGTCATTCTACCAATGGTCTTTTCAGCGAGACCAGCTTCTGTTATTGGACACTGCAATGCACTACTCATCATCCACCTGCAACACCGCTTCTACATTGGTTAGAGAGGACCTTCACCTCTCAGGACCAAATTCCAGCTGAGTGACCCAGTGCTGCTGTCGTGGAAATACTACCAGTGGCTGGTTTCCCCACAAGAAGGGTAGCAGTCGAAAGTAAGAACACTGGATCTAGGAAAAGGCTCTCTCTGACAGTTCTGGAGGCAGGGCCTTGTCGCTTGAGTTTCTGATTCCTTGGAAATGTCCAAGTAGTTTGACATGTGACTTCCCCATCTCTGTTTGCTGGTTTAATCTATCTCAAGAGATTGACTCAAAACACACCCTATGCTAATTCTGTTTCATTGATGTAACAAAGATTATCCATTCCCAATTAGGATTATAACTACAGGCTTAGAGCTTAGAAGTCATAACAGGTATTCTTTGGTAGCACAATTCAACAAATAATAATGACCATAGCAGCTCATATTTGCTTGGGCCTTACTCTGTGCCAGGTAGTCTTCATGGTACATGGATTTTCTTTATGCATATGGCTGTACACACACACACACACACACACACACACACACACACACTCTTGTTCTGCCTTCCAAGAAGAACTATGTGCAATCTAGCATGACTGCATGCAGGTCCTTGCCTCCATTGGGCTCTAGGAAAGCAGGGGCTGATCTCTGATTTCATATGATAAGCCTGGCCATATGTGGAACATGAGAGGAACTTTAAAACTTGCCCTCTCTTGAGTCCCATCCCAGATTCTTGGTCGGGGGCTTTGGGCTAGGCCACCTGAGAAGCTCTAGAGTGATTCTACTCATTGCCATCTAATCTATTCTGATTCATAACGACTTGATCTTACAGGGCAGAGTAGAACTTGGAAATGCGGGCTTCCAATACTGGAAATCTTCATAGAAATCTTTGGAAAATAGAAAACCTCATCTTTCTCCCACAGAGCAGCTAGCTGATTTGAACTGCTTACCTTGCGGTTAGCAGCCCAATGAGAAAAACGATAATGACTTAAGCAAATAGAAAAAGGCTAAATTATTTCTTTTAGACTGGAAAGATGCCAGCTGTGGGGAGAACAGTGGGGGGGGGGACCAACAGGAGCCCCTCTTGACCTACTTTATAAGGGAGGCCTGTGTTAGGCTGGGTTCTCTAGTGAAGCAAAACCAATATATATGGAAAAAGTGGGAAAAAGCCTTACTGGGTGGAACTTTCATTGTACGCATTTTTCTCACTAGATGAACTTCCAGCAACTCACTTAGTGCACCCAGTGGTGTCACTTGGGAACGTTCTCTCTGGTCACAGTGATTTTTTTTTTTTTTTCGTGAAAGCAATTTTGCTCTAACCTCCTTTTTTGTGATGGCCATTAAGAGGAGAGTTTGCAGCAGAAACTGTTGTAATGTTGAACACAACTTACAAGGAGAGCACTACGGGAAAAACTCAAATATACGAGGGGTTTTCTCATTTCAAAAATGGTGAAATATCGATTGATGACAAACTTTGTTCTGGACCTCCGTCAGCTTCCTGAAAGGACAAAAATGTTGACTCATAGTGCATTTAGAGTTTGTTCCACCAGGCTAGACTGTTAATCAAAATTTCTGTTTAGAGGCTCTGAAAATATTGTGTAAGAGTGTGTGACAAAATTGGTCTGATTTGTGGCAGGCAGGGGACTGGTTTTCTCACCACAGCAATGCACCAGCTTACACAGCCATGTCAGTGCACCAGGTTTTGGCAAAAAAAACCCAGCATGCCTCTCTTGCCCCCACACCAGACTCACCTGACCTCTCTCCCTGCGACTTATTTTTGTTTCCATGAATGAAAAGGGACACAAAAGGACAGCAATTTGATGACAGAAGAGGTGAAGGAAAAAACGAGGGAGGTACTGTCAGCCATCCAAACAGATGAGCTTGAAAAATATTTTCAAGAATGGAATAGCAGATTTGACCAATATATTAAGTGTAATGGAGAGTACTTTGAAGGTGATAAGGTTGTTTTGTAAAAGAAATTTAAATACATAGCTTTGGGAAAAAATCTGTTCTTTTTTTGGTTTTCTAACTCTGAAGTCGT